CAGTTTTCGGCCCAAATACTCCTATCCCTGTCCCTGCTTTGGTTTTGGAAGCATCAGTATACCACGTGATGGTATGGTCTTTTATATGCTGAGTAAGCGTTTCTTTCTTCCAATCCTTTTTATTACTCAATACTACAGTGAGGTGTTTCTCAAAGTTGTAAATTCTTGGTATGTCATCCACTGGGAGTTGGAGAAGTGGAATTTTCTTTTTGAGGGTGTTCCAAGCCCCTGACCTGAAAATTCTCCCAGTACTGTTTCCGTCAATGACCATTCTAATCATTGTCGCATTGGCATAACTACCGACGACAATATGCAGTGGTGTTAGGTCTAGAATGACCTCCATTGCTGCTGTTGGACATGTTCTCATGGCACCTGTGATGCAGATACATGCCAGTCTCTGTACTTTGCACAGGGTTTGCCTTGCTGTACGTTGCTCTAGTTTTGTATACCAAGCAACTGCTCCATAAGTAATCATGGGTCTTACTATCATGGTATACATCCAGCGCAAAATGTTAGGGGCGCAGCCCCACCTATTTCCCGCCAGTCTTCTGCATATCATGAGAGCCTTTGTGGCTTTGCTGGTAATGTTCTTAATATGCCTGTTCCAGAGAAGTTTACTATCCAGGGTTATTCCCAGATATTTCACTTCCTGTGATGGCAGTATTTCCTTTCCATCTAGATGGATTCTTTTCAAGTTTTTCAAACTTCGCTTTCTGGTGAATGGCACTACTGCGGTTTTATCTGAGTTAATACTCAGCCCGACAGTCCTGCACCATCTCTCAGCGATGCGGAATCCTCTTTGGATAATATCACACAGGGTGCCTTCATGTTTCCCCTGTGCAATGATGACTATGTCATCTGCGTACCCTATGCAGTGTATTCCCGCTAGAGTTAATTCTTCCATAGTTCATCCACTACCAAGCTCCACAGTAGGGGGGAGGTCACTCCACCTTGTGGAGTTCCTTGCGTTGTTTTAACAACTACAGTTTTGCTACCTATCTCAGCCTCTGCTGTTCGTGTTGAGAGCATTTCCCAAAACCAGCGAATTATCGTACTGTTCACCCCTCTTGTTTCAAGAGATCGCTTGACCACCTTGTGAGGTATATTGTCAAACGCCCCTGCAATGTCCAAGAAGCACAAAGTGCTGTTTCTTTGCTATCCAGGCTTGCCTGTATTAGCTCAGTTAACCAGTACAGAGCAGTTTCTGTGGTCTGGTTTGGTTTGGTTTTGGAAAAACTCTTAAACACGTATATTTTATTTTGTTGTTTTACATATTTTAAGATTTTTTATAAATTTATACAGGGTGTTTCATAAAATATGACCATTGAGTAATCACGATTCTGCTTAAACTGCTTGACGTTTAAAGTGATTTTTGGCAAACAGATTGACTGTGGGATGTAGAGGTTCGATAAGGAGGGCTTTCTCGAATGTCAAATTCCAAGAGGGTGAAAACGCCCCTTAAATATTACAATATTTGTTATTTTAAAAAAGTTAATCTTTCGGGAAAACGCTTGGACAAGCATAATTTATTTGTTTTTTTTACATATTTTGAAATTTTTTTAAAAAATCATACAGGGTGTTCCTAGGGTTCCCAACCGTCCCGGTTTGACCGGGATTAACCAGGAATCAGAAAGTTTGTCCCGGCGAAAATTTTGCCTTGGCCGGGACCAAAAAAATCACATTTACATATAATATATTTGAATTTCTAATATTTAATGTTTTGTTTCAATTATTTAAAAATTTAAAAATAATTGTCCCGGAATCGCCGATGCTCAAGTTGGGAACCCTAGGTGTTCCAAAAAGTTGGGTAATTTCTTAACCACGATTCTGCTTATTTTTGGCAATCGGATTTTTCGAAAGTTAAATTAGAACGGGATGAAACTACCCCTCAAATATTACCAAGTTATATAATATTATCACTATATTGTTTTTTCTCATGCTGACATAAATGTGAGAAAAAATTATCCAGTTTGTATGTTAACTACCTTTTGTCTTCAAGGTATATAATGGTTAAAAATAATTGTAATTCATTATAATAATAAGGTTCTTTGGTGCTATATAAGGTGCTATATAAATTACCAATTTCAAAAGAAAATATTGAAAGAAATAAATTCGAATATACATACGAACAAATACGAACATCTAAATTAATTGGCAACTTTGAAGTAACTTTGAAGTTTTTTTCAATACAGTTTATTAGTTGATTATAAAAGTCTCCTCTTTTGAGAAAAATATTAATATTAAAAGTTATTTTGACACTTTGTGAAAATTGAGGTAAATTAGATTTTATAAACAAAGACATCCAATTTGCGAAACAAATTCCAGTCAGGTTGAAAGTCCTTACTGGATATCGTGTCAGCCTTGTCAATTATTCAAGGTGTTTACATTGTCGAAAAACCTACCAGTCGAAAAATGTTTTTTTTAGAAATATATACAGATTCTGTATATTAAGGCAACGAAAATCATTATAGGAACTGTTGGCCATCAAATTATTTACGAAAAATGTATGCATTGCATTTATCTAAATCATTTTGAGTCGTTAACCTTTTGTACGGGTTTCTGTCTTACAGTTTAATTTTATATCATATAATTTGTCTGGTACTGATAATAATCTTTTTGTAACTGTATTAAAACAATATGATATTTTGGAACCATATTCTGCGATGCTCAAGCTATACAGGTATCAAAAGCAAAAGAAAATTCTAAAATGGATAGGTCAGGTGATCAAGGAACCCCATGCAATTAGTCCACCTCTTCCTATCCCTGCGTTTGTATAATTACGATATAAATAATTTTTAAAATTTCTTTCATTATGAAGGGTGGGGGTGGTGTGGCATACTGAAAGTCATGTTGTAACCACTCTATTGATGCGCGAGTATCTACACAATTTTCTTCATTTGAAAAATTCATATTTACAATTTTTGTTTATTATAATTTACAAAGTTTGGATGTGACAGCTTATTTCTGAGAGCAACGGCGATGAACTTGTTTCCATGGCTAACTAAGTGAAATTGTTTAAAAATGATAAGAATTGGCTATAACTCACTAATGTTTCGAAGAAAAGATACTATAGTTACTTATATCACTAAAAAGCTTAAAAAATTACGCTTTTTATGAAGTCATAGCCAACTATGGTTTCCATTTAAAAAACATATGTTTGTGTCATATATCAAAAATGACAGGCTTTAGAAAAAAACGGAGGACACGGTCTCATTAAGGATGTGATTATCTACAATTTTTATCTGAAAACTTTTTGTCTAAAATAGCTTATAATGGAATTAGAGACAATTTTTAAAATAGCCGAAATTTGTTTTTTTGGAAATATCTAGTTAGCCATGAACTTTTTCAAAAATCTGAAAGGCGAATATTTATGACTCTACAAAACTGCAAGTCTTTCCCCATTTAACCGACTCTCTATCTCCAGTAGTTTCCGAGATACCCATAGAGAACATCATAGGAAACTCACCCTGTATGTATGTAACTCACCCTCTAAAAGCCTAAAAGGCTCATGGCTTGATTGGTTATCTTTCTTCATTTGTTTCTGTCTTTCGCTTTTATTCTCCACTCTTATCCCTTTCAACATCTTTTTTCCATCTGGTTCTCGGTCTACCCCTCCTTCTCTTTCCAGCTATTTCACGTTTCATTATCATTCTAGGAATTCTTGCTTCTGCCATTCTTTCAATGTGTCCCAGCCATCTCAGTCTTTGTGCTCTTGTTTACTCCCGTTATACTCTGATATAGTTGCTTTCTTCATTTGTCATCAAATGAAGATCAAAATTTTCATTTGATCTTCTGGTCCACATATTGTCTACCTTCTTTCCTCCAAAAATCTTCCTCAGTATTTTTCTTTCCCAAATCTCTAGCCCCGTTGCATTGAACGTCCACGTTTCACATGCGGTCGCTTTAGCGATGACCGATAGTCGTATCATTGTTTGGTACATTCTGATTTTTAAACTTTGTTTAAAGATGTTCTTACTCTTAATAATTTTCTGTAGTGTGCTAACATATCTATTTCCTGCCATTATTCTTGCCACAATTTTCTGAGTTACCTTTGGTTTCCTTAGAAATACGGTTCCTAGATATGTGAATGTATATACTCTCAGAATCTATTAGGACCACTCCATAAACTTCGTTTTCTTCTCATTAAACACTAAGCCTACTTTTTGCGCTTGATCTTCTAGTCCTTTGGTAACCGATATCAGCTGTTTGCGATCTCTTGCTAAGATAACTAAATCATCTGCAAAGGCTAAGCATTGGTGTCTTTTTATATACAGAAGGCTCTCTCTGTTGATTTCCGCATCTTTTATAGCTTTTTCTAATACTACACTAAACAGTACTGGAGATAGTGGATCCGCCTGTCTTAATCCGTCCCTGATTATAAAGTTTTCCGTTGTTATCTTGTTTACTTTGACTTCATTTACTGTCTCTTGGAGTGCCAATTTTATCATCTTGGTCAGTTTCTTGCTAACCCCTAATCCATCAATTTAAACACCTCCGTCCTTTTAACTTTGTCATATGCCTGCTGAAAGTCCATAAATAGGAGCATTGTCTGTTTTCCGTATTCATAACTCTCCGCTTGTATTTGTAAGGGTATATATTTGGTCAACGGTACTTCTTCCTTTCTAAATCCACATTGGTCCAATTTTCTCATCTGATGAGAGAGGATGTATAAGGAAATTTTAAAAATGTACCTAAAGAAAGTATTAAGATGGTAGAAGGAAGTAAAAAGAATATAGAGGAAGCATTAGGGATGTTTGGGGAAGTTTTTGCACAAAGAGGAAGTAATAGGTGTACAAAATTTAAGCCAGCGGTTTCCTCCTCGATAGAAGGTTAACCTTAAAAAGTGAAGATGGACTTGGATATTCACTGTTGGTCCATGTGGTCCGTCCCTCAGACGTCACGTTAGTGGTTAAGGGTTAAACAACATGCTGCATACTTTCACTGACTATTTTTTTCCTTCGTTATAGTATATCATCATAACCTTATTTACGTTTCTTTAGATGCCATCGACAAAGTGGCCGATCGCCTCATCGGGCCCTACAACATCGAGACCGTGGTCGAGCCGCTCAACATCAAAATCTCCGAGGCCATCATGAACTTCCAGGAGAACGGCAAGGACGTATCCCAGAAAATCTTCCAGAAGTGCGGCAAGCCGGCCTTGATTCGGCCGACCAGGCGAGCGGTGTACGAGAATCAGCCGGAAGACAACCCAAATCTGGAGATACAGGAGGATCCGCTCAAGATGGGCGGCGGCCAGTCGAAGAAGAAGCACAAGAAGGTGACGGAAAAGCCGGACACCGGACCGAATTTGGACAAGTTAGTGACCGAAATTAAAACGGTGAGTAGCGATAAACAAATGCAAGACCAACATCCCCTTTGGTTGGTTGTTGCAGTTGCGGCGACTGTTTAAAAGGTTAAAAAAAATTGGCGCCGGGAGGCACGTATAGCCGCCCATACTAAAATATGTTAATATAAAGTTGGTAGGCAGTTCTTTTAGTTTCAAAGTAAAGGAATTTATCCAATTTTGGTCCGCGGTTATTTCCCCTATCCGCCACCTGGGGTCGCGTCCGGTGGGAGTTTGGAGTTCTCCACACGGAATATCTCAAAAACTGCGACTTTGACTGATTTTGATGTTATTACAAATTTTGTTGCAAATAATTATTCCTAATCTTAAATAGAAAACCGCGTTTCGCTAGCTACTGTAATTTTGGAGTTACGATTTTTTAAAATTTTTAACCCCCTCCCATACCCCCTTACCAACCCCCCACCTCCACCAAAAACTAATGGCCAGATTCTCGGGTGTCACGGTATTTTTGTGACAAATTTGGTTAAAATCGGTTTAGCGGTTTTTGAGTTATCGTGTTACAGACGGACAGACAGACACCGTGAAAATATTTTGTATTTAGGTCATTTATGACCCAAATAACTCATTTTGAGTAAAATTAAAAAAACTTTTTTTTTGCCGATCTTAATAGCCCACCATACCTGTTGGTATGGTCGGCTAGAAATATGTAAAAAGATGGTAAAGATTAAAAAGAAAACCGCAGCGTACGGCTGCTTTTCGTCTGGTGAACAGTAGATCAGACTTGGGTCGAATACTGAAATTCGGTATTCGAATATGAATCCTGAATACTGTATTCTAAATTGTATTCGAATACTCAAGATTCGTATATAAAGAAAAAAAAAATATTCGAATACCGCTGTATTTGAATACCTGGATTCATTTAAATATAAATACTTTTTGAATATTCCAACAAAAAAAAACATATCCGTACTTTAAACTTGATTTTTATTTATGTGCTTAAGTTATAAAAATATGGAACACAATAAAGTAATAAAAAATAACTGTACATATAGCAAAAAAAGCTTATCTTCTTAAAAAAATCTTAAATAATAAATAAAACAACAACAACTTTTTTTCCTGATAAAGAACGGACATTAAAATAGTCAGGAATTAGCCTCCGTCTTTTTGCGCACTCTTGCTCATAATCCGAGTCGGACGAACCTCCAACGGCTCCAACAAACGGTTCTTCTGGCTCTGAACCATCAGAAATGGTTTCCCGGGTGACGATATCTTTCTCCATCGGTAATCTGCAAAAAAAATCTCTTTACGTTAAATTTATAATATCACAGGTGAATCCATTACTTAACCATACATAGAAATTCCGGAATTAACCATTTGTAAGATATTTATTTAATAATTTTTAATTTCCTTGATTTTAAAATCCGAATATTAATTTGAAATATTCATCAACCAAATAAAAATGGCAAAATAAAATTATAAAAGGTTAATCATTGTTGCTTAGTGAAACAAAAGTTGACCTTTATCCAAATCTAAAATCTACAGAAAAGGAAATTTACAATCTCCACAAAATTGCTGATAATTTAGAGACCCGATTTTTTGAAACACCATGTATATAAGATTACAGTTGAGGGTTGGAACCTTTGGTGTTACACAGCAAAATAAAAACACTAAATCACCACAATACACCAAAACACTTTTACTTTTACACTGGACGCGCGTTTCGCTAACCATGTTAGCATCATCAGCAGATGATTATAAACTGAGTTTCAGTTCAAAAGTAAAAGTGTTTTGGTGTATTGTGGTGATTTAGTGTTTTTATTTTACCATGTATATATTTTTAAAAAATCTTAAAATATATCAAAAATAAAATAAAACACACATGTTGAAGCGTTTTTCCTAAAACTAACGGTTCTTCAAATAAAAAATATTTTAATATTAAAGGGATGATTTCAGTGAGTCAATCAAGCATTTTATATATTAGTATAGATTACTAGAATAAAACTTAATAGGAAAATACATGAATCTTACACAATGTACCCACTTAATTAAAAAATTAACTTACCTTTTCATATGCCTATGTACTTTGTCTGGTTAGTCTGGTATCACACACAAATTATAAAGGTGCGTATTCATTATCCGAACGAACGAACGAACGAGCGAGCGAACGAATGGGATTCGGTATATTTGGACGGTGGACCGAACGCATGCGGTCGTTCGTTTGTTCGTTCGCTCGGCCATCCGTTTCGAGTCGGTACATCAAAGGCGTTCGCAAACGAATGGGTTAAGGTGTTTTCGTTTGGTTCTAAAATCCGGTCCCGTCCATACTACTACCGAACGAACGAATGAACATTCGTTTGTTCGTTCGGATAGTGAATACGCACCTTAACAGGTATTAAAATTTATAATAAAATACCTAGAATGGCGATACTGCACAAGTGCACACGTAATATCTAATCGTGATCCTTAAGCGACCTGTCTCGTCTCACGATTTGGCGATGATTAAATCGTCCTATTGCTGCCAAAAGTCACTAACTAACATTTTTCCGAACAACCAAATTCAATCACTAAATATGTTTTGAAGCGGAGAATCGATTGCAAAAGTCATTAACTACGATTTCTGGCTATTTATGTTTTATTTTAATACCGAATAGTTACTAACTATAACATCTTTATGCAATGCAATTCATCTTTAGACGCATTTTTCTCGGAAGTAATAAAAAGTAAGTTAGTGACTTTTGGCAGCAATGGGACGAAATTTAACCCGATTGTCGGCATCGTGAATTGAGAACCGTCCGCAACCCCCGCGAACGTGTTTTAACAAGCTTAAGTTGCGTAAAGCGTAACGCAATATTCATAAACAAAATCAAACAGAATTCGAATACCGGGATTCCAATACAGGATTTGAATACTGGGATTCAAAAACGGTATTCAGAATCCAGAATACTGATTACTGACCAAAAAAGTATTCAGTCGAATATCAAATACCAAATACACAAATGTATTCGAATAGTATTCGAATACCAGTCAAAAGTATTCTGAATAGGATTCAGAATACCGAGTATTCGAATACTACCCATGTCTACAGTAGATGTAGGTTCATTTAATTGTTTTTGCATTTTGTTGGGCACCACTTAATTTGTTAATGTGTTACTGTAAGTTAATGTGATATTTAAAAAATTAAGAAAATTACCACTCAAGATGTTCTGTAATGATATATCTGAAACTAAAACACCAAAATTGCCTATATGTTACCTACTTATACAGATACTAAAATACATTTAGTACTTGTATTACACTAATGAGTGAAAAAACTCCCGACATTTTTTACGTAGAAAATGTCTCTTGTAGCGTTTTTTTTAGAACTACCACTGCGAACGGCGGCTTTTCATCGGAGAGCAGTCGTGGGTAAGGTATTTCACTAGAGAGAAAACTAATCAATAACAATAAACAAAAAAATACAGATATTGGGCGCCAGGCATGTACAGAGAAAGAAAACACAGTTGTATATTACTTAAAACTAATGACTATATTTATTCATGATGTTCGTTGCTGATATTGTAGAGTTCTAATGAATATGTAGTGGTTATATGTTAAAGAAAGTGGTGGTAAGGGTTGTACTAAATATCTATGAAAACAACTATGATAAAATACAAGACATGTAAAGTTTAAGAGAATATATGAAATGTAGCATTACTTTAATTAATTTGATATATTTTATATGATGTTAGTGCAATAATAATATCTATAAAAAAGTAATACTATTACAAGACATAATGGCAATGAAACCTAAGATCTAAATTATATTTAATATTAATTTTTATATTAAATATTAAATCGACATGAATGTTCTTAACAACTAACCACTAAACATAGTCTGTACGATATTATTGAAGATGTACGTTATTGTTTAAGACTGTAAATGTTTTAAATGTTAAATGTAAAACTAGGACTTAAATCTACACTTAGCTGTTCTTTATGTAATCTTGCTTTAAACAGTAACAGCGTGAGGTGGTCTCGCATCTCTGTACTCAGCCATCCAACACAACCAAAGGGGTCAGAATGAGGACACCATGAATTTATACAGCCGTAACTAACTAGCTTATAGCTGGGAACGAAGCAGCACGGGACTCAAGCTACATCCACGCTGTGGCACTTATATGTAAGAAAAAATCATTCTTACTGGGGACACTCGTCCACAGGACATCCGTACATAAGATAATGTCCGTACATAAGACACTACCCGTACCTTGGACACAGTCCGTACCTTGGACCCTCGAAATACTTCCGAGGGCTCAATAAACAATAAACAACCTGTCCTTTATTCCATGTGACATTCTGGAGGACAAAAGAAAAGGGACGCCAACGTGCCAGCAAAATACAAATACAAGTTGGGACATCCGTAACTCTACCCTAAAAATATTCAATAATAATATCGAATCTAAAAGGATAATATCTCATCTTTACCTGTTGCTTTGAAATAGCAGCTGATTCAAATTATACAGCAAGATTTAAATAATCACCATTTCTAAAAGCTGGGATACAACAGAGCGTCAAAACAAAGTGAGGTTAAGCACGGAGAGAGTTGACAGAAGCGATGTTGACAGCGCCTCCTCAGAGCGATAACAGGGTTGTGTCGAACGATAACAGGGTTGGCGACTAGGGAACGTAAAAATTACGCGTCAAATAAACTATCCGGCCTGAACGAGAGGGAATCCGGTGATGATAGGCCAGACATCATATGTTATATGTAAAAAAGACATGTAACGAACTAAAAACGTTACACTCTTGCTAAAAACTCGCTACGAGTAGGTAAATGGTTCTCAAGATATATGAAACTGAAATAGTCAATACATGTCACAACTGCCAAAAATTATACAAGTTGACTAATAATTATTAGTCTGAAATATTAAATATGAAATGCTTTTTTTGTGGCAAAGATTTCAACAGAAACTGTTTTATAGTATTTTTTTGAATAGCTTAAAAAATAAAAAGTTCCCAAATTTATAATTTTAGTCAAATAACTATCTAACAAA